GGGGGGGGGGATGTTAATGATGCTTATTATTTTGACCGGTACTTTAGCCTGGAGAATGTGAACCACGGCGGCGAATATCTTTACAACCGAATTTTGTAACTCAAATGCGACACTGAGGTTGTCTTCTTGGGGGAGGGCAGGGCGTTATTACCGGAAGGATATTAGTGGGGCGTCCGGGGTTGACCTTGTTTTTGCAACGGCTTACATTTGGAATTTTGCGGTATATGAGGTCGGGCGTCTTTGAGTTTGTGGTAGCATGGTTTGTTGGCACCAGTGTAAGCTCATGTGGAGCACGTACGCAACAACGTAATGAACGAATTACGACTGAAAAATCGAAGATAGAGGTCTTTTTGGATCCTAAGTAGTGCTAACGCAGGAGTTCTTTTAGGAAACATTGATTTTAGTTCTAATAGCTATTGTCCCGTTCATGCAATGCAATGCATTGTCGTATTTCTCTTCAAAGAACTTCTTCTTTCTCTCCGGCACTTTCTCAAACATCGTCGAGGGCCCGAACAAATTAACAAAAGCAAAAACACAAACTAAAACGCAAACGTCCGAACCACCAAAGAATTCGAAGGGAGGAAAAAACCTAGCTTGATCTTTTTCCCCCTGAAACTACACTACGAACTAAACATGCCAAAGACCTGCAAATTTGGGCCTTGCAAACGACTTTACAGGGGTTGAAAATAATACTGACTTAGTTCTGGTGGCATTTCTTTTTCAGTTGTAACTTCAGACATGTTTTTGTTTTCGTTCGACCTCTTACTGTTGGTAAAAAGTGGAAACTCAATCTTTTAGAGAGAAGGTCAAAGTAAAACATCTCTTTAGTTATTGATCGGCATGCATTCTTTTCAATGTTAGAGCTTAGAATTTGGTTCACCGTCTTGATGCGGAAGATATATAGACAATGTAATCTTGTAAATTTCGAAGAACAAAAAACAGCTGCAAGAATAACTGAAATGGAATTCAGAAATACCATAACAGAAAGTCAGGTATAGCCGTATAGCCGGGCTCTTGAGTGCTTTTGCCACTTAAAAATATTACAGTTTTGAAAGTCAATGTCCCTTTCAATGTTGAAACAAAAGAGGTAAAACCATCATTTACTAAGTTTCAACCTTTCATGACATTGAATTTCTGAATTTCTTGTTTGACCAAACGTCTTTGTAACAGAAGGGGGAAAAGTGAAGCTATCATTCGATTTTTCATTACTGAAGCATATCCACTTAATTAACACAGGCGGGAGGGCAGGAAATCAGAGGAGTCCTTTTTCCTTCCTATAAACTAGCACTCATGTCAGCTACTCAAGCGGGTTTTCCTGCATTCTGCCACCAAGTGCTAAAATTTGATAAGTTTCTGTCCTCAAACACGGAACATGCCTAGAACACCAAGAGGAAGGTATTTGAAATAGAGCTTTAATTATTTTGAATTTGTAGCGGTTTTTCCACAACAACGGCTGAGCTGAACTTGGAAATCAAAACCTCGTGCATGCCTGTAACTGTCCCGCAACGTTACGCTCTCAGGGTCCCTCTCTCCCATAAGCAAGCCAGGGGGGACTCCCACATAAAAAGCACGGGAGTGCTCGTGGTACCTTTTAGGAGTTAATTAAGTGGTTTTGGTACCTCTTAGCGGTGTTCAGCCTTAAAAGGTCCACAGCGGGAGCTTTCGCGGTAAATTTTACGGTATTGAGCCCGAAAAGAAAGAATTGACAGAAGATAATGTAATGTGTCGTTTTAGAATTGGTACTTCCTAGGGTTCAGGACACGCCCACAAAACAGAATCTTAGTACCTCTTACGGGGTTTTTACAAAATTTTCGCCGATCTCACCCCCGTCCTTTTTTATACATGGGAGTTCCCCGGGAAAGCATAGCGTTCAGCATGAAGAAGAAAGGTACCGTGTGACATGAAATTTCGTGGAATCTAATTTTCGCGATTTCATCGATCAGCAGCAAAAATTAAATCCCTTGAAGACAAAATTCCGCCAAAAAAAAATTCAGTGAAAATTTTCTCCTGTTATTTATATTACTGAATTTTAATGACGTTGGTTGCAAACAGTGTAACGAAAACGACCTACCGTATTTTCTTTACAATAATTACGGTAGTGCAATTGAGAGTCTGCTGTTTGCCTTTTAAATCAACTATGTGAAGACAAGGGAACTGCGGTATCTCCTGCCTAAAAACACAACAAATAACAGTAGATGCGCGTATATGGCTTCCGTATTTGTTAATATCAAGTACCGTACATGAAATCCGCGAAAAATTATTTCCAGGAGTAAAGTCTGAAGTCCAAATTCGCGAAAATTTGTTTCCGCGAACTCGAAAAATCCCAACCCTAGACCATTAATTACGTGTCGTTTTTCAATGCTATAGATATATCTTGGACTTTTGCCTTTCGACGTGTTGATTCAAGAAGGCTTATTCGATATCCATAAGTGAGTATGAGGGTGGTTCGGGAAGTTAAAGTAAACCCTACTTACAATGTTTCCGCTACAGCCATTGCAAATTGATTAAGTAGTTATTTTTAACGCGATTATATTATGATAAACAAGAGGATCGTCACTCGGAAATGCGCAAAACGAGATGCAATAAGACGTCAGTGTCAGTAATTTTACCTCCTGGGTAACTTTTTTTGCTTTATAAGAGAGTGTCCTTCCCAATAAGTTTCGTTGCTTCAGTTTGGACCACAGCTACTGGGTGGCAACCATTTTAGAGCAATTTGTGCTGCATCAATTTGCGATACGTGTTTAACAAACAATGTAAGTAGCAGTTATTTTGTTCACTGTATCATTGTAACTTCACTTTTCAGAAATTGCAGTGGATTGCATGTGGAAACAATCATCAAAAAATTCCATGCAACCATTTTCTATGCAAACTTTAGTCCAACTTATTATGGGACATAAAGAGAGGCACGAAACATTCTAATTAGTAGCAAAATGGCATTTTGGACGACTTCCAACCATCGTGCCCTCTTTGCTTTTCTGATTGGATCTATACTTCATAATATTACAGCAACTTTTGGAAGCAATACCTTCCTTCCCTCCCTTGAATGTAGCGACTTCTCAAAGAGGCGTTAATTTCATGGATGTTAGCACTTCCGATAATAGCGACACTCCTAAAGCAGATACAATAGGCTGTAGCGTGTTGCTCTGATATGACATACTAAAAATTATTTTTAAAAACTTCCGCCCTTTTTATATCTATATGTGAAACAAAGAGTGATTCCTTCCGCGAAGTCCTATATATTCAAAACCTTTTTTTTAAGATGGACCGTCCCAATGTACGTTTCTCTACAATGGGAAAGATCTTTTGACGGGGTATTTAAATTGCACATGCTGTTAATTAGTTACATATTTGTACTTATAGTGCAATAAAATAAAAGTGTACTAGCAAAGTTAGAATTACTTTTTTTACATTCAACCCAGTGACAATCTCGAAAGCCCCGTGCTCGATTGGTCAACTGTTCAAGACAAGACGACAATTTTTCACACCTGCACAGTTTCTACACTGAACACCCAAACGGTAAGCTTTCTGCCGCTGAATTTTGTTGTTTCACCTCTTCACGAAGTATTAGTTAAAATTTTAGACATTCAGTTACTAGTTCGACGAAGGAGGGACAAAAAAGCCCGGGGGGGAGTCTCCCATATAAAAAGGAAGGGGGTGCTCTTCGTACCTTTCAGTGGTTAAAAAAGCAGTTTTGGTAACTCTTAGGGTGTTAAAACGCAAAACGTCCACAGGAGGAGCTTTTGCTATACCTTTTAGCGTATTGAGCTGAAGAAAAATATGACAGGAGATAATGCGTCGTTTTAGAATTGGTACATCTTAGGGTAAAAAAGTTTCAAGCCAATCCCACAAAAGAGGAGTTTGGTACCTTTTAAGGGCTCTTTTCAACTTTTCGACGAGCATCCCCGTCCGTCCTTTTTTATATGGGAAACCCTCCCCTCCGGAAAAACAGCCGTTGGTATATTTGAGGTTTATTCTGTAAGACCTGCACTAAAAACTGAAATGCTGACACCAGAAAAAAAAAACTGTATCCAGTAGCGAAGGGGTGGACCCCTATTACATTGTTGATCTGGGAGTAGAGAGTTAGACAAATCCCTCAAAAAACATTGAGCCGGCTGCGCTAGAAATGAATTTACTGGAAAGATGGAAGAGTGCTAAGCCACTGATTAAAATTCTTGGACTTCGTCCTCAAATATTCTATAGCTGGATGCTAACTAGATCAGTGAAGGATTTAGTCGTAAGGCTTCACTGCATTCTTTTATAAGTGACGTTACGTTGAATTTTAAGAAACTCACGTTTGAACTATATTGAATCTGTACGTAAGCTCCATAGAGTCTTTTTCAAAACACTTTTTGGGGGAGCAGGGATGGTGCAATTTTGAGGGCTCGATTCTGGCCAGGTGCCATTTGTAGGTTGAGTTTGTTGTTGGTGGTTCTCGCCTTTTTCGGAGGATTTTTGTCCAGGTGGAGTGAAACCGAGAAAACCCTTAAACCGAGCTTAAAAGGTAACCATGCAATGTAGCTTCTCTCATCCTGCTCTTTAGCAAAATGAGAAGGGATTGAGGTACCAATGGCGGATGACACTCCCTGCTAATGTAGACTGTATGTATGGATTTCATTTCAGATGAAGACGAACTTCATTCTAGTGGTGATGGTACTGTTTTTAGTACCAGTGGCAACTGCTTTCTTTTCCTTAAGTGACTGCGAGAGCCTTTGTCACTATGAAGTCAAGCATTGCTCACAAAATTGCTTTTTACGACGTTGCTTCAAGTACTGTGATGACACGTTCAGTGAATGCAAAGAGGCCTGTGTAAAACGGAGCAAGGAGGACCCAGATTCCAACCGTAAAGTAGCCAAATGAAGTAAACAATAGCTGAAGGCTTCTTGCAGAAGAATCCACTAAATGATTTATGTTCATTGTATTTGAACGTCCTGTGTACGAAGTTGAAATAAACGCCACGTTTTTCTCACTAACCGTCTCTGATTCATAACTGAATCATCCAAAGTTCCTCTTCAAACATGTAAAACGTGCCCGTTTAATACAGAATTCATCTGAAAAAAATGGTTTCACTTTACTTTTTTAAACACCCTTACCTCCCCAGGGGACTACTCTCGAAGGTTTTATACAGGGACTCTCCGCCCCGAGGTTCAACCCCTTACCCTTTTGTATTCCACTTTGACTGGCAGAAAAAATACCCCTTTCGTATACCATTTATTGAAAAAGGTACCTCTTTCACATACCTACTTTAGAACACTGCATCCCTTTTCTAAACCCTTGGAATGAAGTTAGGAAAAATATTATAGGAGAACACCAAGCAATGTGTTTGAACTTCCTGTCGGTACGAAGTTGAAATAAACGCCACGTTTTTCTCACTAACCGTCGTATTATTATTATTATTATTATTATTATTATTATTATTATTATTATTATTATTATAGTCTTCTCTGATTCATAACTTACTCATCCAAAGTTCCTCTTCAAACACGTAAAACGTGCCTGTTTAATTCAGAATTCATCTGAAACAATGAATGGCTTCACTTTCCTTTTTTAAACACAATACTCAAGAAAGTTTTATACGGGGAAACTCCGCCCCGAGGTTCAACCCCTTTGGTTTTGTATTCCACTTTGACAGAAAAAATACCCCTTTCGTATACCTTTTAGTGAAAAAGGCACCTCTTACATACACCTTTTCTAAACCCTTGGAATGAAGTTAGGAATCACATTATAGGAGAACGCCAAGCAATATCAGAAGAGATGTTAACCAAAACAAGTATTATTAATTCAGTTCATGTTGTGGCGGAAGTCAAGATACTCCACCAGTTGCGTACCCTTTCATATAACTCAACTTGTGAAATCTGAACCATTCGGGAGGAGCCTCCCCGACTATATAGGCCAGAGAGTAGCCTCTTCCCCTCCCCAACAAAAAAAAAAAACAAGGCAAAAATTGGACCGGATTGAAACCACGTTTCGTGACAGCCACTGGATCAGAGAGAAATTTGTAGTCCTTTAATAATGATCTTCGCGGTAGTTTTAGAGGAGAAAACAACAAGTTATTGCCAGTCCGTTAATCATAATATAGATTTTTCATCTATCCACTTCCATAATCGCTGATTAAAACTAAATTAAACGCCAACAGCCTGTGAGCATGCGCTGTACCGACTAACATGGACGTCGCAGATTTCACTTACGTTTCCCTGATAAACATTAAATTTTCCTGACAAAATAATTACAAAATTTGAGATAAAGTAGCAGCTAGTAACAGTTTCAAGGTGTGGTTATTTTGCCGATTTAACTTGATTTAAGCGACTTTTTTGAATTCCGGTTTTTCCTTCAACCGGAATTCAAAAAA